GCGGTCGCGTAAGCGGCGGACGGGCAGCGGCGCGCCTCGCCTCCCTACTCCTCGCCCCGCACCGCCATTCTATTCCTCGCCGAACACCGCCTCGAGCGGGGTCGCTAGGCCGACGCTTCTCACCGCGCGCTTACATTCGCCAGTAGGTTGGGCTAATACGGCGATTTTTAAAATTTCGTATCTCGATAACTATTCGTCCAAGCGCAAAATAGTACAATACTTTTCTGTTTGTCTTAGTCCCCTCTACCTTCCCATGACCGGACGTCAAAGTCTTGCGTAGCACCCTGTATATGAAATGACTCGGGAAGACATCCCCAACAACGGAACATACTGTCTCCTCGCATGTACTTCCGCCGTTGTACTGTTCCACATGGGTTTGCAACTTTCCTCGTGAAGCGAGATCCACTCCACACCTCTGACATAGGGTGGGTAGGGTTATTTTTAACGAAGTGGAGCCCCCCCGAAGGGGGGGCAGAACACACTGTTTTCACGCATACATTTTTCTATCTACATTTGGTAGAGGGGAGCGACTTATATGTGGGTAGAAAAATGCGTGTAGACAGTATGCGTGTAGACAGTATGTTCCGCCCCCCCTTCGGGGGGGCTCCACTTCGTTAAAAATAACCCTACCCACCCTATGTCAGAGGTGTGGAGTGGATCTCGCTTCACGTGGAAAGTTGCAAACCTATGTGGAACAGTACAATAGTGGAAGTACATGCGTGGAGACAGTACGTTCCGCCCCCCCCCCTTCGGGGGGCTCCACTTCGTTAAAAATAACCCTACCCACCCTATGTCAGAGGTGTGGAGTGGATCTCGCTTCACGTGGAAAGTTGCAAACTCATGTGGAACAGTACAACGGCGGAAGTACGAGTTAGGAAATATATTTATTATTTGTATCCTTTCTCAGCCTGTATCTCCAAAACTATTTGAGTCCCCCCCTTATATATATATATGAAATGACTCGGGAAGACATCCCCAACAACATATTTAAAAATAAAACAAATCGGAGAGGAAGTCGCTTTTATGCATAATTACCAAATTATTTTCTCGATAAATAGGACAAAAGTGAATCAAAAACTTATAATACTAAATGCACTTATTATTGAATATAGTATTTATTATTTGCTGAAAACTCTTCATAGGAGGATAAATGGTTCAACTATGAACTGCGACCTGTTTAATACGTCACAAGTAGATTAGATTAAATAATTTCGTTTTTGTAACATTATTCACTTTCCCGTTGGAATGAACATTAGCAACAATTACAATGTTTAGGATAATCTGCACTCAAAGGGTTGATCAGCTTAATGAAATCCAATCTTAAAAAAAACTTTTAAAAACAATACACGTTTAGTAACTTCTCCAAACGTACAACTTTATCTAGAAATAAACTTTTTATACTAATTCACCTGGAATATTATTACTAAGATCCTTATTGAGATTCAAACGAAACAGAGAATATTTCATATTAATAAACATAATTTAGGATATAATAATAATGCAAGATATTGCATATGAGCCCAATCGCAAATATGCATTAAAATATTTACCAGCGATTAACCAACAAATCTGAAAAAAAAATTTTTTAACATGTGTTACGGAAAATTGTCTTTATATCACTTTCACTAATTTGTTGTGTCGATCACTTTTAACAATAGCCCCATTCTGAATAGATAATAGACACCTACCCACGAATCTATTTTTCACAATCTGGGAGCACATATACATCTTGCACTTTAATTATTCTGTAATAGGAAAACCAATTTTGTCGAGAACGGTCGTCATTTTATTTACACGTATAATTATCTATTTTTATTTGTTATATTCACGTACATCCTTTTACTATCATAATAACAAAAGAATTATTATTTATCTTATGTTTTGTAAAATATTACTTTGCATTTTATTATTAATAGCTATAATGTATCTCAAGCGTTTCGTGTTATACTTTAATACCTTGGTTTTGATATTTTACTTATTTGTTAAGTCTTTGCACTTATTTGGTTCTAGTACACTTTGTTTAAACACTTTTGTAAAATATTTTAAAGTACTTTTCGTATTGTATCGTAGTGAAATTTAATATTACGGCGACTGATTTCACGTATTCTCTATTCGGAATACAAATTAGGATCGACGTTGCTACAACTTACCGTATCGTCAGAAGGCTAATCAGTTCTCTCACAGAATACTTACGAAACATGTTTCTAGTTTTACTGTTGTAGTCGCGATTGACAGGAGTGATAGTGGGGTACCGAGAGTTAAGTAATAATGAGTCAATCTACGTCATTTAGTTAATAAGGCAGCACACAAATTATCATATACGAATTAAATGAACGATAGAAAAGAAACGTGCCTGGTACACCTTCTCCTTTTTGACGATTTCACAAGAAAAAAATGGAAAAATCCTGAGACGCCCAATGAGTCAGCCAGCTCCCCAACATGGCAACTATTATTCACGAACCCAAAATTTATTCATGTATTATTTCAATGCAATGCGTAAGCACTAAAAATTTTCTGATGCTCGCGGAATCTAATGCAATTATTAAATATACTTCTTTTGTTTCCTTAGGTCTATTATCAGTTGAAGTGTTTCATTTAAGCAGAATTAATCAAAAAAACAAAAATTCCTAGAAAACTTATAAGATATAATTATGTGCAATTCTTACAAATAGCAACAATAACGTCTGTAGTTCTGTAATTTCTTTGTCACATGTATGTTTGCTGATAGCAATTGTGTGTGACTGACGATCGGGAACGATATGATTCCGAAGACAGTAGTAAACCCAACAGCAAACTTCATATACTAGGTTATTTTCTCATCTTATTTTCATGTGATGGACAAAGTGGTTGCAATACTTTTTGTTTTTGTGTGTTTAGGAACGTGCATTTAGATTGAGGACTACGTTCCAAAATCTTCTTCTCCGATAAATATTTACTGGATAGCCATTCCGAAACCATTTTCAACGTTTTCGATCAATTTCTCAAGTAAAATTATTCTGAGAAAAATGTTTTGTAACGTAAACCTGAATCTAAGTGCGCGTTCCTAAACATATTGCAACATGTATTATGATTAATATTTTTCTTTACTAAGTAGTCCAATATGATAGATAGTTATACATGTGTGGTAGCTTATTTATTCCGTTTTTTATCTAGATTGGAGACACATTACAAGATGCATGAACAACCAAAAACAGAATTCTTCTTTTTCTTCTTCGTGTATTACCCAGTCAGAAATGACTTGAAAACCGACGTCGAAACGATATCGAATCGACGTCGGTTTTCAAGTCATTTCTGACTGGGTAGGCTTAAAGCCTGTTTTATCCAGTTCGTTCTGGTACTTTGAGCAGTTGGTTTTACTTCATCTTCGGTAGGCTGCTAACCTTGCCGAAGGAAACCTCCCATTTGGAATGGCTATACCCCTGAAGGAGTATGTGTGGCAAGATACTCTCGGTGGTTGCCACTTCCCTTCGGGAGATTCCGATAAACTCCAGCGGTAACCGTGGATTTGAACTTGGATCTTTGCGTTCATTTGTTTACTAAGCAGCGCACATTTCTCTGCGCCACACAACAGACAGAATTCATGACTGTTTAATCCTTACGCGTAACTGTACATAAGTACTGCGTCTTCGAATAAGCTTTACCTAAAACAAAACTTATAGATTAGCATGTATTGCATTTTGCGACTGAAGACGAACGTTACATCGATATCTGTTGTTCAATCCAGGGTAGGTATTTGGCCACATCAACATAGACGATGTATTTCCGTAGATCGCAAGACGATCTTTGTTTGATTATAGTTCGCGAAACAACGCCACGCAACTCATAACTGTCTGTAATATTGTTTAGAAGTATCAGCCCGTTCCCACCATCACCATTGCAAGGACCCAGTCCGTCTCGCGAATCAGCGCAGAAGGTGTTATTCGAGATCACACTAAGGTATACAGCATCAGCCGAGAGACAAGTCTCCTGTAATTTGTGAAACGAACTTCAACTCAAGGCCTGCAATGGCGCTGACAAATACATTTGTCACAAATAGATGTAATGAATAGTAATTTTATAATAGCAATTAACTACTTACGTGACTCACTATATTCGCCCTCACCATCCGTTGATCTGCAACATCACGATCAACCTCGTCTCCACCCCATCCTACGACATATCCCGTCCTACTAACGACGTCTTCAAGTTTACTTGAGTCGGACCATAGGCAAATAGGCCTGATAAGAGGATTGAATTCGACGACGTTGTTGAGGGTCAAAACCGCAAGATCGGAACCAGCATTGACATAGAGCGCATAATCGGGGTGAATCACGTAGCTCGCGATTTTCCGTTTGGCAAATCCATCTCCGCGCAATTCGTCCAAGTTAAATCGCCCCAGAACCACGTCCACCATATTAATGTTTACTGGAGTGTAAGTTGTTGTACCAAAATAGTCCCATAGCAAGCAGTGCGCTGCTGTAAAAAAGAGATACGCATGAATTATATTTTGTAACGATCCACACTGTCTATACGGAGACATATGTAATACTCTTGAATTAAATTAAATGTCTTAATTTAGTATGACAAAAAATAATTACGTATGATAGTTTTATTTAAATTACATTAATAATTAATTGCGCTAATGTTGGCATAGTTTTGCTCAAACGTTCGCATATCGTATATCGCATATTCGCATATTTCTATACACTG